TGAGCCTCCTGTGGGTGGCAGGGAGACCACCATCCCCTTTTCCTTCTGGTCATCAGTGACTGCTCAGCTTTTATGGACAGAGTGGGTTTCTCAGATTCTGATCTCATGTCTTACTACACCCCAATCATATTGAATCCTGATTGAGCAAGCGAGACGTCATCTCCCTAAGCTCATTTCATGATGTAAATTGTCGTTTGACAGCCCAGTGCCCCAACTAGGAGAGCGCGTTCATCGACTGTCACGGGTGGTGAGGAGCCAACGGTAATGATCCTCTTTCTCAGACATTAATGGCAAAACGCTGGAGGTTGATTTTGTATTTTGTGTAATAGTGGATTTACCTTTTTTAAAAAATAGTAATAATTTAGAATAATAATAATGATTTAACTCTGAGCTCAAATTTCTGAATCATCAGCATGAACAGGGACCTTTCTCTGCTCCTATGGCCTCTACTTAGGAATGAGCACAAGTGTTCTTCTAAGTCTAGAGTGGGGGCAAAAGTATAATTAAGTTAAATGGTCTAGAAAAAAAAGACACTGTTCCTGTAAGTCAGGTTTCTGTTATTTGTATTATTCATCATTTTAAACCATTTACACTATTTATGGTTGTGAGTAACTGAGACTGTTTGTTCCATTGGCCACTTTTTTCTACTTGATCCTAAAGACAGGCTTACTTGTAGTTTATGCTTTGCACTGCTAGAGCTGTTTGAGGAATTTTCCTCATAATTTCGCCTTTGTTGTTTGTGTTATAGCAACTTGTTACTTGTGGTGAATAACTTTAACTATGGGCAATCCCCAGGTTATGAACAAGATCCATTCCTAATGTGTCTTTAAGTTGAATTTGAAGTTCGGTTGGAATAGGTTCCTATGGTTCTTATCCTTACCTTAATGCAAGCAAGTAGGGGTTGGTTCATTTGTTTCAACGTGAGGGCAAATTTCCGTAACGTTAAAGGGCAAGTACAGGTTGTCAGTAAGTGATAGATGTTCATGATCTGAAACTCATTGTACACAACTGCTGTTTTTCCATAAGATATGGAAGTTCTGCTCAGTCTTATAGGGTCACTTTGAGTCAGTGACATAAAGGAGTGATTGAGTCATATTGTTAGGTTAGCTCTGTACAGAGGAACATCTGGTTGACTTTCGGCAAAAGTCAACCCAGTTTAAGGGCTGAGTTGCAGGGGTGTATGTGAGAGTCGTGTGTTGGGTATGGCAGGTTTAGCCTTCATGAGAATGCGGGGGATTCTGAATGAACCAGCATAGTCCGCTGTGCACTAACAGTCCATGCAGGAGCAGTGGGGCTGTGGAGCAGATCATTTGTTTGAAGTAATTGTAGTAGATTTCTGTGCTGATGAGTATTCTCCAGTTGCCTTCTGTTTTTGCAATGCAGTGGCCTTGGAGCCTGCCTTGACCACTGGAGTGTAGTCATAGCTGACGGTATTAACTGACGCCATCAGCTGAGTGCTGGGCTCCACGGTGACTGCTGCCCAGCAGGACAGCCTGGTTCATCTGGATGAGACCTTCTCTTGCCCTCTTTCCC